ATTATTTTAATTTAGTGTAGAGGATGGATCAGCTGAGATGGACCAATAGGTCCCATGTTGTCCCAAAACATTATGTTATGTTTACTGCTCATGTCTAAGTACACGTGTAGTAACTGTAAGGTTACATAGGTTGAGAAAACAAAATGGCAGTTGAAAATTAGTCTGTGAACGTTTAGGAGTATCAAATGGAAGGATGGATGGAAGGACAGGGGAAAAAGCTTTGCATAAGTACACATACTAATATATTATCTTTATATATATTTATATACCTCATGTAATCTATTGTATTTTCCTAATAAAACAAATCATTTTGTATGTAGTTGAATGTTACAGAAGTAGGGTGATAATCATTTACCCTCTTTCACACCGTAGTTTTATCCTGATGAAAGTTTCTCTTATCTGCCTATCTAAGCACTCACTTCACTTTTAATCTTACCTTTATTGCCCAAAGAAAGTTAAATCTTGTGATTCTATTCACCTACATCAATGTGCTTCCTATATCAGATCTGTATATTCACTCCCTGTTTTTACTTATTATTCACCTTTCTTGATGGCAGAACATTTTGATGATGGTTTTATGTGCTTGCTGCAGGCTTATCTTCAGTATTGAATGACTTTAGATTATTCCTTTTTTTAGATCTGTCTTTATGGGTCTGGAGTTTGTTGTCTATTTTCTTTATTTTACAAAATAATGAAAATGAAATTTTGAAGTATTAGTTTTTCAAAGTGATTTCAGTAATATTTGGTGTTATACATATTTTACAAAAACAAATTTCTGAAATGTTTCGGATACGAATTCACGTCTCTGAAGGAAGCTCTTACTCTGACACCCATGGTGCTCAAGTTACTTAGACATCAGTGGTGGGGGGTTTTCTGCAGAATTCCTCATATGCAGAGAGATGGAGTTTTACATGAGGTCTGATGTTTCTTCTCCCGTCAGCTCAGAGGCTGAGCTTGCTGAGGATCAGGTGCAGACTGGTGCAAATTGAACTCTTATTTTTCCAGCACCTTCTTTTGCTCAGACAGCTAATCATGAACCTTGGACTTGGACGGACATCCCACATCCTGCACCATTTTCGTAATTAATACATCCAGTTTGTATTCTCTTAAGCATTGCTCGTGTACCTTACAATTCATCTCCTTCTTTTTGGGGGGACAGTCAATCGGCTGTTTACCTGGTCTTTCTACCTTTACCAGACATTGCTGATCAATTGAGAGAGGGTGCTGCCATGCCTTGTCCTCCCTGTTTATTGGATCAGCATGCTTTAGCTTTCCAGCACTTGGAGAAAACATATTTTTATTCTCAGCAGTTAGATCCTCTTTTTCACTTTGGGGTTCTAGGCCCGATGACACTGTTCATCTTAACCTAACTCAGTTTTTCTGAATTCGTCTATCCCTTACAACTGTTGTCTGAGGCTTATCACAGGTCTCCTGTTCAATTTTCAGAGGATCTTAGCCATTTATTGACTTCTACTTTGGTAATGGTTATCAGCTTCTGCTCTCTCCTTGGTCTCTTGGTTGGTTTGTTGCTGGAATCTTTTGGAGTGAGGTGCCTTGCCTAAAGGAGTTGGACTTTTTTCTTTGGTCCTTAGAAATCTCCAAGAAGCTTCTTTTCTCAGACAATTGATTTTTGCAGGTATTCCAGTTTCCATTGAATCTAAAGTGGATGTAGTCCATCTCCACTCTTCTCTTTCGACACTGGCCTTTCACTTTTTCTAGTCTTCTACCGGATGATTTCCTGCATTTATTGTTTCTTTGTAGTACCAAAGAAGATGGGCGATTGGCAACTGGTCATCAACCTTTCTCATTTCAATCATTTCCTCTAACCTCCTTAGTTTATAATGGAGCCAATTGTTCCCTTTTTGTGACACTTTGCCCCCAGTGTATAGAAGACAAGGTTTGATGTAGCTCATGCTTATCTTCATATTCCGAAAATGGAGTATTCACGTTGTTATCTCTATTTTGTGCTCGAGTCACAGGTTTTTCAGTTATATGCTCTATCATTTGGTCTCACATCTGCCCCAGATGTCTTTTGCTACATAGTCAGATCATTTTGATGTCATCTTCACTCATAGGGCATTCACCTATATATATAATATATTATATATATATATATATTGTATAATATTATAATAATATAATAATTTTTTTTAGGTTTTGTATATACATTTTGAAATAACCAAAAATCATAAATATATCAGTACCACAGAATTCAATTTTATAATTTATTAAGTTTAGTAATTAAGCTGTATTTGGGTCTAAAGAAATACGAATTTTTGAGCTCACTAAAAGAAAGAGTTTGCCTTGCAAATACTTTGCAGAAGCTGGGAAAACTGCTAGGGGGACATTCTGAGCTTTCTAATGGTTATATATACGTCATTGGGTGAAGTAGGTGTACATAAGCAAGTATTTTCAAAAATTGAAGAGGTGGGAAATTACAAAAAATAGAAAAGATCGGTTCTTATATTCTAGTTTGTCAGTATCTGTAATTTGAATATCTAATTCATAAAAAACTATAAACTTTGTAGTTGGACATCACAAACATCTAGTTTGAACCAATGCTACATTCAACATACCACGTGACACACAAAAATCAATATTTAGGTGTTTTTTCTATTTACTTTTAAATTAAGAAATTAACTAATGTATAATACTAAAATTTGAATTGTAATTTAATTTTTCATACCAAACGTATTGACATACATTCTTAAACTAGCAGTTCAATAATATTTTTTAATGTGAATCTATAAATGTGATGACATTGCCTTTAACCCGTGACCATAGGAAGAGTTGTATTGGTAGGGTTAAAAGGAGATGTAATAACATCCTACATTATGTGACAGTTATGAAGCACTGATTAATCTGTTTGATTCTAAATATACATGTTTTGTCTGTTTTTGTCAATATACCATTTTTGTGATTTTATTTTGAAAACTTAATGAAGAGACTTAGCATAGTTTTCAATCTAGATAAGCCAAGTAGTTATTAATAACAATATACTTGTGAAAGAAATGGGTGTACTTTTTCATTATTTATTAATAATTGTGTTTGATATCAGTGGTTCTCACCAGAAATTTTCTTCTGTAGAAAAAGTGACCAGTGAGATGAACACTGCTGAAGATTGGGGACTGATCATGGACATTTGTGACAAGGTTGGCAATACGGCAAGTGGACCAAAAGATTGTCTACGGTCCATTGTCAGAAGACTTAACAGCCCAGTTCCTCATGTAGCTATGCAGGCTCTGACGGTATGTATATAGTTTATGGTTGCATCAGTAAAATTAACTTGTATGATATGTGCACATTTTGTCGTGATTAGAGGCTCAGCAGCAGTTAAAAGGTTATGTTTGTATTTTCAAATATTGTCATGGTTCATAGCCTTCATGAATAGTCTGATTATCAATTAGCAACTTTTACTAAGTTTTGGCTGTAAATCTGTTGCTATCATCAGAGAAGTCCTGATAAAGATGTTTTCTGTGTTGATAGAGGCTGAGATTCAAACCTGGGTCTTATTGATGAAAACCTAGGATGTTATCCACTCAATTGATGTCCACCATTATAACTTAAATAAACTACTTGGATGTTTGGAAGGGGTGTATGTGAAGGATTTGCTGACTTCTGTGCTAGTTTGACCATATGTTATTAGTTAGATGAGTGTAGAACACTTATCTTTCTTATATATTTTATCAGTATCATTCCAATTTTTAGTATGGTTTTCTTCACTAACATAATTGGCTTTTGCAGACCTACTGGTATTAGCTAGATTGAGTGGACATAAAAGTATTTGCTACTGGAGAAAACTCAAGTGATTCAAGATAATTTAATGTTGCTGATTTTAAAAATAAAATCAGATTTTGTCCATCATCTCTATACTTTGAGTTATTGTAATATTTCAATATTTTATCAGCATTATGAGAAATACCATGCAATATACTTTTGCTGTGAAATTAAGTTTACTTGGACAGTTGAATGAGTAAAAGGTATACGATTTTGATAACTTCTAACACTACATTGTATTGGTGTAAAATTTCAAATATATTGTTCATATTTGCTGTTTGTTCTCGATATAATTGCAGCGAATTGCACCACTTTTGCTTCCTTCCCATGCTCATCTGCTCTGTTCAGGAATCATGAAACTCTCATTTGCTCAGTTTTCTAGAACATTCTCAACCATACACCCATCTAGTCACTTTGCCTCACTCTGTGAACAGTTAAAACAAAGTCCAATCTTTTTTTTTCTTATCATACCCACGATATGATTAAATTCTGTAAAACTTTGTTTTCAAAAATCTTTTGAACTTTTATATTTTTTAGAAATCATTTGAAATGCTGGCTGGTCCCAGTTCAAGTAAAGACAGAAAGTGGAAAAATCACACAAACAGTTTCTGCTACATTTGTGGAAAATATACTACAGTTTTACAAAGGAAAAAAAATCATACACAAGGTAAAGGTAGCTTACTATCACGAATTTGGGTGTAAAGTTGGGGACCAAGAAAAACATTGAGCTCCACATATGTGTTTTACACTTTGTACATCTGGCTTGATACAGTGGCTGAATAAGAAGAGAACAAGTGTGCCATTTGCAGTTTCCATGATATGGTGTGAGCCCAAAGATCATCTGACTGACTGTTATTTTTTCATGACTAACGTTTCTGGATATTCAGGCAGAACTAAATAAAACATTAAATATCCAGATATTGCATCTGCAATGAAACCAGTACGTCATGGAGATGGTCTTTCAGTGCAACATCCACCAGCAAATTGGAAAACAGAACAGTTATCTTGCGAAGAAGACAATGAATCATCTTCATCTAGTAATTTTATTCCTGTGGTACGTCAACATAAACTGCCTCATCTGATCACACAAGAAGAGCTAAATGATCTGATTTGTGACTTTTCTCTACCAAAACAACATGGGGAACTTCTTGGCTCTCGTTTACAGAAATGGAATTTATTAGCTCCAGGAGCAAGAGTTTCAATTTACCAAAGTTCCATCAAAAATCTTGCTTCTCACTACAGCATGCAAGATACTTTGTGTTTCTGTACAAATGTTGATGCACTAATGGAAGAATTAGGTACTGAACATCATCCTCAACAATGGAGACTTTTTATTGACTCATCTAAAGTTAGTCTGAAAGCTGTACTTTTGCACAATGAAAACACTAAGCCATTGATTCCTGTTGCTCATGTTGTGAACATGAATGAAACTTATCAAAGCAAGCAGATTATACTTGAGATCATCAAGTATGGTCATCATAGGTGGAACATGTGTGATGATCAAAAAGTTACTGCACCCCTGCTAGGCCTGCAGAGTATACCAAACATTGTTGCTTTTTGTGTCTCTGGGACATCTGAGATGATAAAAATCATTTCAAAAAGAAGGAATAACCAATGAGAGAGAATCAAATACCAGGAAAACAGAATATTGAGCATCAATGTTTAGTGAAACCT